AGTACAGGAACTTGAATTTTTGCTTTTACTTTGTTATGGGTCGTTTAAAAACTATCTTCACAAACGTACAGAGCATATTTGGGAGCGACTCCTTACAAACATGTTTGTAAGTACTGTTACTAGGCCTATGTTCAGTAGGATGAATGTATACAAATTTACAGTTACTCCAAACCTTTTATGTTTATTGGATTGTAGTTTTAATATTGTATCTACAGTTTAATCTCTTTATATCTGCATATTTTGTCAGTGATTGTGTAGATCTTCACATTTAGTTAAATTTTGATATTTATATAATTAAAGTTAAAATTAAAACGCTTGTGTGTTCCGCCGTTCCAAAGGCGATACCTCCTTTCTCAAAGTATATGAATAAATAATACTATTACGTTTGTTGTATATTATTATAATTTTGTAAAATTTTCTATTAATTTTTAACAGTGAGGGTGACATAAAAAAAATCTTGACTAGGTGTGAAAAGTGTCAACTAATTAAGATGTAATTTAAAGCAATCAGTGGTTTTTAAGCATTTTGCCATCCATGGTTTAGTGTCGCGCATGTCAATAAAATTAAATAGGGATTATGTGATGTCGAGTAATGTCACATTTTAAAGGAATCTGTGTGTAAAGTATATATTCATTTCACACAATAAGAATAACATTTCATTATTAAGTTAGCAGTAGTTCTGTTTGAAAGTGATTTAAAAATTAAATAAAAAGTGTTTTATTCCTATAAAAAAAAAAAAAAAAAAAAAGCAAAAGCAAAAACAAAACGGTCGTTGAGAGACGTTTATCAATTAATTCTGAACTAATATTTCTAAGATAGGAAATGACAACCATTATTAGGTCTAATGCCATTAATTGCTTTTTTCAGGTTCCATATCATACTAGTAACTTTTTGGATTGTATACCTCTATAGTGAACAATGTACTTGGTATTTATTTTACACAACACGCATCATTTTCATTGGAAATGAAATCAATTTTTTTTCTGTCCGATGACGAGGATAAAATTAGTTTGTAACTGAAACCATACAATTGTTACGGTAGCTTCTTCCATTAAGAAAAAAACCTTTTATAATTAAAAGTTTTAACAGTTTCAATGATTATAACTTTAATACGTCAATTCTCTGTTCCCCTGTTGTAAATGCACAAAGCGTCACGAGTGCTACTCAGGTGGAGGATCCTATAATTACCCTCACCCTCGAAGGGGAAAGACAGTACCGGTACAGTATTGCAAATGAGCTCCGTCTGTCGGTGTGTCTATATGTCTGAGCTCATAACTCACAATAATTGGGTCGATTTACTTCAAATTTTTAGACAATGTCAGGACCATTCGTGGTTCGGTTCTCCTTTAATTTTGGTAGTAAATGTGTCTATTTGTATGTCTGTCCACAAGCATCTAAACAAATATTGGGCCTATTTACTTCAAATGTTCAGATTATGTCCTGGCCACCCGTGGTCGACTCGGTTCTCCTCACATTGATCGTATGTATGTCGGTCTGTCTGGCCAGGCCTATACCTCAAAAACCAGTAGTCCAACTCACCCATATTTACAGACAATGCCAGTTCCTCCACAAATATGGTGCTGATATGGATTACCATCCGGATTCAGAACTTATTGAAAGTTTCGCATATTGCCATAGGCCTATTGGAATTCATTCTTATATCAGGAAATGATTTTTCGTACTTGACTTCTGTTATATATTGTATTTATTTACTTGGTAAATTCTTTTTGGACAAATAAGGTGAATAAGAGAACACAATTTCTGGGCCTCCACAGTTAATAAACAAATAATTTAATATTTAGTTCAACACAGGCGAGGGTTGCAATCTAGGCGATTGTCTTGTTTATTTTATTACCGTATTGTCCATCAGACTAACACAACGCGACACATGAGTACGAAAATGTTTATTTATTTTTATTTATTAGGTAAAATACAGAAAGCTTTAAAAAAGTGAAAAGACGGATGACCCATGAGAATTGGGAACATGAGAGCAATTAGAAGAAATACACAACTACACAGAAGTAAGGAAAAACATGTTCTTAAAACTATAAAGCACTCTATATGAGCATACCGCTCCCAACACATTTCTGCCTCTCGAGCCAATTGATTTAAAAATCATCATCCATTGATATATTTGTTCATAATGCTTTTTAGTCATGAGAAAAAGTAGTCACTGGATCGTGCCATGATTGAACCCCGTAGACTGAAAGTTAGGGTAATTAGCCACTAGGCTCAGAGTAGTCAACGTGTGTCCACTTAAGCAAAAAAATTAATACTGCCCATCTTGACAAACAGGGGTGAAAAAATAACCTCCTACTATACCAATTTTTTGTAAGGAAGTAATTAAGGTATAGCATAATTATATACTAGTAATTTTTGTTGTCAAAAGGGGTTACAATGACAGACCTTTTGGCCTTTATGTGGTGTCTTGTATATCATCCTGTTCTACTGTGTTTTGTTTTCCATTTTATTGTAATGTGTATGTAATTTGTGAAATGATTTTGATAAAATGACTATAAAGACAGTCAAGGCTCACGTGAAAAGCGAAGATATTACACTATTTATAATTAATCATTTTGAATTATCATCATCATCTGTTCGCTTAGGCGTCGTTAGTAGACTTAGCGTTTACACCCTCTGTTATCAGATTCAAGTCCTTATTTATTGTTTGTATAAGTTAGTAAAGTCACGTATAATTCGAGTTTCAATGTATGTTTAATTTGAGCACCCGAATTATGTACACAAACATTGATTACTCACAAACATGCGGTGGTGAACCTTTCCTAACATTCGACACACTTTCTACCCCTCCTGCTATACTCCTACACCCCTGATTCTTAATTAATTTGTTTAAAGGGCCAACATTTATTTTGAGTTGAACTCACGGGCCAAAGATAAAGGGCCAAAAGATTAAGCAAGTCGTTATGTGTTTGGTAATTTCAAATTCTACTTTTTGTTACAATAATGGTAGCAAATTCTGTAACTTTAAGCAAACAATACGTACACAATTATCAATATTCTGTTCACATCCTAGTTGGTTAAAATAATAAGAAATTGCATTCGGTGTATAATAAATGTTAGTAACATAAACATTAAAAATATATATAATACGCATACTTTATAAAACATAAATTGACCTAATTTTCTGATAAACAAATTAAATAAAATTAATTAAACGAAATATATTTAATGATATAGGCGTAATTGCTACCATGAACCGTAACACATAATTTGAAATAAAAGTAGGCGTATCGTAGAAGAGAATCACTATTGAGCATTGACCTCAAAAGTACTGTAGAATTATACAGAAATAATACTTCAGCTACTTGCCGGAGTGTTTTTTGTGGATGCAGAGAAATATTGGTATATAGAACGACTAGAAAAAGGTGATATCGAAATTCCAAAAGAGGAAATATGTTATAAAGATATCCTGTTTTCTTTCCTCTATTTCTTATGTAAAACCGGATTTAAACTTTCAAAACGTTTCTACAATGTGTATTTATGCTTCATCAATACTATTGTGAATGCATCAATAGTCAGTTAGTCAATTGATTGAATAACGCTTTTGTATCATCGGCACACCTTTTTAGTGTAACCTTACAACGACTAGACAATAGTTAATTGATATAGAGAAAACACAAAATAAAAAATTAAAACAAAATAGGTTCTCTCTCTTATATAGAGAGAGAGAACCTCCATAAGGTTATAATGAAAATAACCTTATGGAAAAAATATCAATAGGAAAACTAGGAGGAACAATGCATCGAAAAAATGGGGGGAAAATAGCCTGGAGAATAACTCTCTAGGTAGAAAGAAATCCGTGGGGAAAATTAACAGGTGGCAAGTAGCCACCGTAATAGTGCTATATTCTGTAAAGTAAAGTCTCAAACCACTTTGATTTTAAGTCTACTAAGTTTAAAAATCTTCCCAGGCTTTTCCAGATATAGCTAGAACTAACTTAATCTTTGGCGTTTTTTGATAGCAGATTATTTTTTTCTTTAGATTTCAGTGGGTTAATCAGACTCAAAGACAAGCTTGCGTACAAACCTAGCCATGCACATTCATCTCCTATACAATAGGAGCCATGTTCACACGCATGATCTTTTCAAAATTACGAAATCAAAATTTTGAAAACAAGGACAAAAAAAAAAAATCTCCCATATTACAGAAACTTCTTTTTGGATGAAGTTGAAACTAATACAAAAATAAATTCTTTTGTTTTTAAAATAATTTTTTAAAATGAATTAAGAAACATTAGAAAATTCAAGATTAAATACCAGGACTCAATAGTATTTTGTTACGTTTCTTCACAGAGGGGGTTTCGTCCGAACCCCTTGAACCCCCTGGATCCACCACTGTATACATTTTGAATGTATTATGAATTTAATTCCTGACCTGTATATAAGAATATATGATAACATAACATTTGTGGTAACGGTAAGGAGGAAGATTATTGAAAAATATCAAATTTTCTTGAAATAATTCTTGAAATAAGATTACAAATTTTTGTATAAAAGTTAAAGATGATGCTGTTTTATCAAATGTACTACTGAATGAACACTGCAAACATTTATAGGTTATGTAAACAGTTTGTTTTGAAGTTTTCAGCTGTGTGATTTACGGTATAATTAAAATTCCATTGAAAACGCAAATGGCACCACGGAAGAATGGTCAGACACATCAAGGACTTTTGCTAAATAAGCGACACTTGGCCCACGCCAAGTGTTCAGCAAATGGCCAACGAAAATAGGCATTGGTTTTTTTCGTTATATATTTATATTTTTTATATAATATATAATATTTTATATAATATATAATTTTTTAATATATTATATAATTTTTTACATAATATATAATTTTTTATATAATATATATTTTATATAATAAATATTTTTTATATTATATAAAATATTATATATTATATACAATATTATTTATTATATAAAAAATTATATATTATATAAAAATTATATATTATAATAAAAAATTATATATTATATAAAATATATAATATATAAGATATTACATATTATATAAAAAATTATATATTATATAAAATATTATATATATATATATATATCGTAAAAAACCATGTCATTTTTTGCTAAACAATAAGTGAACAGATGGCGCCTCATAATCACAGCCTGATTTTAAATACTGTAAATTTTGACTCAGAATACACTTTTATTTTTTAAGTTTCCCAACTAGTTAAATCTCTTTAACCGACTTACTACATCACAGATTTGGTTAACACAACCAACGAGGGCAGATCTTATGATGCTGTGGACTTTTGACTTTCGGCTTCAAGTGGCACTCTACTGCATCGATAGGATTAATTATAGAATTAAAATGAAGACACAACTACAAAGCAATCTCAAAGACGACAAGTCAAACCTTTTATTATGTGAAATTAAATATACTGGCAAACCCAGTAAGGGTTGAAAAAAACACTACTCCGCTACGCTTGACAATACTGCATAGCATTAGCCACCCCACTATTTTAATTTCTTATGTACATTCAGTTATTTAATTAACATATACTGTTCTACCACCACCAACAATATATAGAAAAGTACGAGAAAAATCAAAAGCCTTCTTAGATTTTGTCCTTTATGAAGGATAATTTTTTTCTGAAAAAGAAAACTGTTGTATGCCTATATATGGTCATCATGTGATGTCACTGTGATGCCATCATGACCATATTTAGGAATGTTTACATGTTTTTGTCAAATAAAAATTTGATACTGTAGACCAGATGCCTTTCATAAAAAGTTTGTAACGAATGCCTTATAAAGATCTGTTCAGATTATAAAATTTTCTTCGTCAAAAACTGTTGATTGCCCATATATAGTCATGATATGATGTGATGTCATTATGACCTATTTAGGCAAGCTTTGTCAAATGGAATTTGATAGTCAAGAGAGAGCTTAACATGCTTAGAATAGATGAATAGAAGAAATTTTGTACTCTCTTTCCCTGAAAGTCAACATGTTAGCACTGTGCAATAAAAATGGTAAAGAAATTTACCAGTAAGGTCCAAGTATATTGCTATACAATGGTAATAAACTATGCATATTTAACTGGTCAATTCAAGCCAGCTTTACCAAATAGACAGATGGTTTATGTTGTCTCTCTTGTGAAAACATTGCTAAAAATAAAAGATTAACAGTTACTTCAAGGTAAGAAAAGGGTTGTGTTTTAAGCGTATTTTATGTAGCTTCCTTCTGCGAAGACTGATCAAATAGTGGTCTTGTACTCAAAAGCGATGGTTTCTATTTTCATCAGTCTTGCTAAGAGTTTAATTTGTATAAACTCCCACAGCAACCTACCCTTATAGTATATTGCCTATCTTGATATAAGTAAAATATGCCATGGTGGAAAAAACCAATGCATAACGGCGGTTGGTCATTAACTTTGGATGCCAGCAGAGAAAACCAAAGACATTTAAACGTTCTGAGCAGCTAAATGCAGAGTATCTGCCGCGCACACACTGGAAGGAAAAATACAATCCAGTTGCAAAAATATACAGCCTACATCCTGCTACAATCCTACTAAAAAATACAAGTCAGTATCAAAATACTACTGTCCTTCGAACAGTAGAAACTGGTTTATGCAAGTTGGTCAATGTTTATCACTGCATTGATTATAAAGGTTGGCGATTTTCCTCATCGCTGTTCCAGTTTTGGTTTCGGTGGTCTAAACTGTCCTTTATTACTACTCTTCTTCTTCTTCTTTTTGTCGTTAAAATTCCTCCAGTTATCCACTCGTTTTGTACGTCCGTCCTGTGGAATTAAGGTACTATCCATTAGGATCAGCAATAACCTGCACAGACAATTTCACAACCCTATAACCCAAGTGGTTACACAAAAACAAAATCAAATTTTCTTCAACAAAACAGCTGTATGCCAATATAATCATGATGTGCCTATATATGACCATGATGTGATGTCATCATGACCATGTGATGTGATGTCATCATGACCATGTGATGTGATGTCATCATGACCATATTTAGGAATGTCACATGTTTTTGTCAAACAAAATTTGATATTTTGGATTGGACACTATAGTTAAAGGCATTATGACTGAAATCCTAACATCCACCATCAATAATCTTTGTAATGAATATACATGATGTTATAGGATTCAGGCGAGTTGAGTGGCCCAGCGGTAAGACAGTCACAGGCACTGCTAACCACAGCCTTAACATTGGTGCTGGTTTCAGCCCCTCCTCTCCCAGGGTTAGGTTGGTAGAACCAAGTCTTCTCGAATAAGGACTTAAAATGGAGGTCCAGTGTAGTACACATCTGTCTCGTGTGCACTTTAAAGAACACATTGCATCTTTCGGAAGAGTAGGGGGTTAAGGCCTGTTTATACTTCAACGATAACGATAAAAATGGGATTGTTCATGTAGAAAATAAAATAAGAGAATATTTTACACTAGGATGATTTGATAACGATTTACCGTGTATAAGATAACAAAATATTTAACAAATCAAATCAGATGACGTCATAATCATGGAAAAACGATAAAATCGTTGCTAATACTACGATTTTAATGTTTTTCAATGGTTATGACATCATCTGATTTGATTTGTCAAAATATGTTTTATCGTATAACTAATAAATCGTTATTGAATCGTTCTAGTGTAAAAACTTCTCTTATTTTCTATATGAACAATTGCTTTTTATAAACAGGCCTTTACCCAGATGCTTTGGTTCATTTCATCCTCTGTCATTGTGAAATGATGAACATGTAGCTACTAAAAGCACCTCTTTACATGCTGCTAGGTAGTCACAGTCCACGCTCATACGCAATTCAGCATAATGAAGCTGCGAGTTATGGGTTATTCTCCTACCTTTACCTTAATACATTGACTTATATTTGCCCATTTTGGGTTTTACTTACCTCCCACTCTTTCTGCCATTCCTTCTGTTTTTTAGTTTTATCTTCGTTTGCTATTTCCTCCTCTCGTTCACGCTTCCTGATCTGTTGTTCCCTATCTTCCAACTCCTTTCGCCGCCTTTCATAATCAGCAAAGAGTTTTACCGTTGTTTTGTAGAGAGTTGCTTTTAGCTAAAAAGTACAAATATTACAGATATGTTAATTTCTGTTCTCTATTGATTGAAAATTGATGGAAAATATTTATCCAACCCTCAACCACAAGGAGGACTATGAAAGAGGCAACATGGAGGGCAATGCTATTCTAAAGGCATGCATCAGCCATTTATTATATTCAGAATGTTTTTTGCCAGGCAAAAGAGGCTGAAAATGCCAAGAAATTAATCTTAAATTCACAGATCTTGGAAAAAGGGTTGTGCGGAAATATGCAAGAGGCTAAGAGACCAACAGACATATTTTTTTTAGAGGTGTCCTCACTTAATACATAATTGGCAATAGTTGACTTATCCACAAGTAGAGTGAAGCGGAATAGCTTAGTGGTTAAAATGCTTGCCTTCTAATCCTAGGGTCCAGGGTTCAATCCCTGTAACAGCAGGACTTTATCTCACAACTAAAAACAACTCCACTCCCTAAGCCTCATAAAGAAACTCATCAAAGCATCACATTATTTCATGATGATGATGTCACTGATCACATGACTGACTACTTACCCTTTCTGGGTCATCTTCCTCTATACTTGTTGGTTTTCCTTCCTTTTTTAATTTTTTCCTCTTTTCTTCAATCTGAATAAATATAAATAGCAACAAACTCTATTACTTTACACTGATATAAAAAATGGGGTCCTCCTTGTGAGGAATTAGACAGTAAACCAGGAAGATCATACTCTACTCATTTCCGAAGAGTTCACTATGATCTATAAACATGGAAATGGACCACACTGTATTCCCATGTTAGTGAGTTTCATCAGCATTATTAGGAAGGTTTCACATGAGAACTTATACAGTTAGTGTTGATGTATATGTCTTCATTTATGATGTCACTAACCGGGTGGATAGCAACTGACATGAAAAATGAGTAGGAAAATTGTGGATTTCTAGTACGATCATCATTTTTTTGTTTTCACATTTTACAGTAAGTTTCAAAAATAATTGTAGTTATGTGCTATTTTAGCGACTTTTCACGACAGCAAGTTACAATAGAATGCGTTTCATTTTGGGGTATTAAAAAATGTTAGTGCTTGGGTGTCAGGATTTTCCTGTACGCTTAGGCCTAGCCTGGCTAGGGGCCTCCCTAAGCCTAGCTTATAACTACGGTATAGCAAGGCATTTTTGGGTCACAAAATAACCAACTCTTCTGGGCAACACGGGAAGGAGTATTATTCTGCTACCATTTCCAATTTCCAAAACCTTACATACCAAAACTTTAAGCTATGCCAGAATCTGTTTTTGAGAAACATGATGAGAGAATAAATTGGAATAGCCTAGGCTAGGTCTAAGGCCCGACCCTTAAATTTTTCTATCATTGCGAAAAGCACAGCATGGCTACTAACTGTTACAGATAGCTAAAAGTATCCAAACATGTATTCCTTGCGTGCGAAACCTCTCTATTTAGAATAGCAGCTGTCCGAGTCTGAGGGGGTGTATCCTCATACTGAGGTTTGGGTGCTGGATTGGCTTGAAAATTTCATCTTTTTTTTCACTTTCATTTCCAAACATCACTATACTTGTTTCTACAGGGCATAGAGACTTTTTGTATTTTGCGCTCTATAAATTAAAAAACCATGAACCATTAACCATATTGCACAAGAACTCCATGGCACTTTACACATATCATCCAAAAGACATATTCTATTGTAAACTTGCAATTCAGTCAGACACCTACAGAAAACATCCCCAGCTCCTTGGGGAGAACAGTTCGGTAAGCAGCTTTGAGCTTAGAATTGGAGTGAAGTTAAGTCGTTAAGATGCTTGCTCCCTGGGTCCTGGATTCCATTCCTGTGATAGCAGGACTAAAAACAACTCCAGTCCCTAAGCCTCTAAAAGAGACACTGATTAAAGCATCAGTTATTTCATCTATTTCAAAGAGGCCCAATTGAATTATCAGCCAACCTTTTAGGATACGCTGGAAGGGTCACCCTCTATGGTTTAAAAAAAAATTTAAAAATTGCACCCTCAATCTTAACTTACTTCAAATTCTGTTTTTTCTTTGGCTTCTTGTATGGTATTTAAAACACGTTTCCGATGATTCTCATCCTCGATAGTCTTCATTGCCTTGTTTATAACTAAAAACAGATAAAATTTGTTATGCATTTTACGTATCTAAAAATGCCGAAGTAGCCCAGCTTTCCCATTGAGTATGAGGCTGAAAAAACACACTCAATTGGTTAAAAATCACCTTATTTTGTAACCAAGCTCCCCTTCACCTAATCAATAAGCCCCCACACTCTACCTTTCGTGCCCCCATCATCTCCCTCCTCCATTTTAGATATGCTACTCTATATACACGAGTAATTATCTCCTAACCAATTGGCATGAACCTGAAAGGGTGGACCCAGAATTTTGAAACAGGGGAGGGGGAGGGCGCTAAATTAAGGAGCTTATTAAGTGTCTTGCACACTGTGATGTCATTAAAAAAAGAAAATCCATAAACTAATGCAGTGGCGGATGCAGGAAATGCAGACAACATTGAGGGACTTTCACAGATGGATGATCAAAGCCACCTCAACCCCTTGGTTGGGTCTGAGGGAAGAAAATTTATTATTATATCACCTCTAAATGGCACTCTCTCAGATCTAAATTTGATTACAATTTTCCTTTTTTCTTAATTTGTTTTATAATTTTGAGAAATTTATGGTAGGGCGGGGCCTCTACACCCCCCCCCCCTCTCCTGTATCTGTCACTGTATTGTGAGCATTCTATAGTTTACTCATGGTTTTAATGAGACTTTATCAGACGTATAAAAAGAAAAAAACAAAACCTCACTTTCAAAAGCACTTAATGCACGATCTTTGTTGTCCGGATTCTTGTCTGGGTGAATTAATATTGATAACTGAAAATATTAACACAAGTCATTACAGTATTATATTACACAATTGAATACACAGCTTCTGCCTTATTAGATTCATAACAAAACACAAGGCTACAAAATGGTAAAAAATTCAATAGAATATGGGTGTTATTGGTGAAGACAAGCTAAACCAGTCACTCCTTGCAAATTATGTTTCAGAGATAAATAAAACATGTTGGTATGTCAACATTTTTTAAATCTCTCTGCTATTTATCCCATTTTTGACATTAAAATTTTTAAAAAATTTAAACGATTTAGTGATGGTCATAATTTTCAAGACTGACTTCTCAAATATTGTTCTTTATTTAAACAGCTGTATGATTAAACTCACTTTATAACAAAATGTCAGATTTAAATGATTGTTATAAATTTAATTTTACTGTTTAACCCTTTATTTACAATTAAAAATCATTTTTTTGTTTGTTTTTTGTGAGGGGTGACTGGTTTGACTTCTCTTTGCCACATATAACAAGGTTGGTTTGTGGTAGTATGCTCCTTAATTTATTCACAAATACATAACTCAACAATTTACATGCTGTTTTTCATCATGGCCATAATAAAAGAAAAAATTATTATACAGTATAACTAAGTATATGAAATTTACATTACATATTTCAAATAATTTAAGCATTTTCAAAAAACTTATTTCATATTCCTCAGTGTAAGTTAATATTTATAAATGTACTTTTTTATGTTTTCTTTGTTTGTTTTTTTTTGTAGTGTAAAATAATGTAATCCTGTTCATATGTACATTTGAGTTGATGTGGTATGAACTACTTCTGTGGTATGAAATACTTCTCTTTTTATAATTAGTTCTTGGTTTATGAACATATAGATTATATGAAAATCATATTATTAAAGAGAAAAAATTATTTTGATATGATGGGCCATATTTAATATTTTGTATACTAAAATGGTGCAGTCAATAACTTGCTAATAAACAGTTTATTTGAACGTGGACTCCAGTTTATGGATGGATGAATGGACTTATTTGGTGTAAACCCACCAAGGATTACCCACTAAAGTCTGAAGAAGACTTATTTCCAGTGGGGTTACTTCCAGTGGGGTTCTTTTGGCGGTGATTGGGAAGTATACCGGAAGACAATTCAGTACTCATTTTCTGAACAGTTCACTGCACTTTTAAAGGGCACACAGGCCATAATGCACACAGGACCAACAGCTTAAACGTCTCATCCGATGACGATACGTTATCGTAACTTGCATTTCAGCCCAAACCCAAACCCAAGATGAGCAACGATAGGAATAGTTCAGCACACACACAGTGGCTACCAGTGGCTACCACCAGTTTAGCCCACTGAGCTAGCTAAGCTGCAGCTCTCATTGTTTAAATTACTGTAGACAATAAATTGTTACTAGGTGCCACAGGCTTCCCAACAAACAATATGGGCAGTTCTATTCTGTATTGTTTGTAGTTGCTTGGCAACATTTCCAAAACCATGAAATGTAAAAAATAAATTGAATATTAATCAGTTAAAATTCTAAAAATAGTGGCTGTTTCAATACCAGTATGCAAAGTTTCCATTCATTCCCACATATTTTTATTTCTTTCATTGGCATCTACCAGAAAGAAAGCAATGTGCCGAGTGCAAGATGGAATGATTTATAAACAAAGTCCCTTTAAGAAAAAATTTAAATTATTCTTTTGTTTAAAAAAATTATTTACCGGTAGCTTAAGATATAGAAAACCCATTCAGACGTGTCTTAAGCCTGTTTGCCACGAATTAAATTCATTTGCACGAATCAAAAGAGTCAGTTCATGCGCAATCCACATTTATATCACAATTTTTTGCTTCAGCGAAATTGGTAGTTTGAACTGTTTCTACTTTTTGCAAAGCGAAAAAAATGCGCAACTAATCAGAGCTGAGGAAGCGAACCGTTGTTTTTGATTCACAGGAATAAAGTGCAAAACAGGCTTTAACGGCTGCTGAGGGGAGAGTGCTATGGTCACCCAGCATGAAGACAATCAGCTAAACAAAAGGTGGAATTAGCTTCGGAGTCGACAGCCAACCATTTAGTTTAAGGAACAGGAAATAGCAGAAAAACAATGGTATCTATGCTGGTACAGAAAAAGCCAACAACAAAACATAAACAACTCACTTTTCTGTATTGTTTCTTGATAATCTCAACCTTCATATCTGGTTCAACTTGAAGAACCTGAAATTATGAATAAAATTAACTTATTGTTCAATTTAAAATGTTTATATACTTTTTCTAAATTCACTGTCATTTAACATTGTAATTTTTAATTTTGCTGAGGTTTTTTTAGGACATTTCTGAAAATCAAAATACACGCTGTTGTTGTTACAGACTTGTGTAGTAAAGAAACAAAAGTGCTTGACAACCAATACGAGCTTGTTTAGACGCGCTTCCCTGATTTTACAAACTAACACAATCTATCATTATTGTGTTAGTTTGTGATTTGAGCATCAAAATGTACAGGTCTTTACCTCAAATGGATTTAGGTTAAAATATGTACTTCCTGGACGTAATAAGCGGTCAATCTGTTGTTTACTGGTTAAAACAGAATCTTTCTTCTCTATTTCCTTTACCTGAATAAGAAATATAGTATAAACAATGAAATAAAGTTATGAATAATAAATATCTACATTATTTTTCTGCACATATATATACCTGCCAAACTTGTTGGCATCTCTATGTTTATTTTTATTGTACAGTAGTTGTGGAACTGCTACTGATTACAGTTAAAACCCTATCAATAGTGTAAATGAAAATTCTAGACAAAAGCAAGTGTTTCTTAAATGACTAAAATCAGATAAGCAGTTGTGAAATTACAGCGTTTTGAATTAGGCCCAAATCGTTGGATGCTGGAAGCAACGAAAAAATGATCAATTTATCATACTGTATTTGACAAGTCATATTTCTTTTTCCATAAATTTTACTTTCAAAACATGTACAGAAATTAACAATATGCCCTTTAGTAATACAAACAAAACAATAACAGTTAATTAATTATAAGTTACTAAAATTATTGGAAAGTGCAAAAATAATGCACCTAAAACACAAGATAGCCGCCATGGACCAGTTCCAAAATATCATATAACACAATTAAATAATGATAAAAATGTTTTGAATCAATTTTTTTTATATCTGGGTGCAATGAAATTCCAAATTTCATTAAAAAAAAATATGTATAAAAAAATTTTGTACAATATTAATTTTTTTTAATAAAATAGAAAAATTTGGAAAGGAGACATACAAAAATGGAAATAAAAGCAGTCAAGGGTTTCGCAGTGCACACTTTCCAGCAAACACCAGAAAAATTATTGATTGTTTTTACTTTAATGTTTTAAGTGTTTATATATTATTTTGTTATTATATTTATTTCAATTTATCGTATTTGCTTTTTCTTACTTTGGCCAGTGGCCCCTGCTGCACCAGTCGGGACTCAACCTTTATGGATGCGACACAACATCTGCTGGCATAGCGCCAACTCCATCGAGCCACACGTTCAAACAGTGCGTAAAAACTGCCAAACGATATCGAGCCACGACCGGTGCAATTTTTAAATTATTTTATTAATTTTTATTATAAATTGAATCTAAAATCTATTACTAGGGACCATCCGAAATCTGCAGCCCACAGATTCTGTGGTCAATTGCTACGGTAATCATCAGAACATAGCTTTTTGAGCAGAAAGTAATAGGCAGTCCTCAGGCCTTAGTTAGGCTATCCTAAGCCTAATATGCCTAGGCCTAGTTTAGTCTAGCAGGCTAAACCTAATGATCGCGGGCCTAACTAACTAGCCTGGTCCTAGGCCTACAGTAGTCCTATTATCTTTAGGCCTAGCCAGCGTCCTAACTAGCTAGCCTGGTTCTTCCATCATCGGCTGGTTGGAATAGGCTCAAGCAATCCTAGGCCTCGTCATTATACAAATAAAGCAAGGTCAAAACACCACCGCCGCCGAACCGAGAAGGGCAGCAACAGTTCGCTAGTGTCCGAGTGTTTATATATATACCCTAGGCTAAGCTAGGCCTACTTGTTGACAATCCTTCCATTAAGTATTACTCACAATAGAAAGGGTATTAAACAAAATATATATTCTTTACCTCGGTCATAAAAGAACTAAAAACACTCTCTGCACCCGTGGGTTGCCCGCTTGTTGCTTTGGAGGAGGCCGCCATTTTGCTGAACTTTTACCAACCTTTTGCGGTTTTTTTTCCGCAAGTTCGTCGTAGAGGGCGTGTATATGAAAGCCCACGTGCCACTGAAATGTTCAGTTCAGTAATTCGTAAATACAAATTACTAATCTGTAATTACGGATTACTAATTCGTTGATACGGATTATCAATTCGTTATTACGGATTATTAATTCGTTATTACAGATTACTAGTTCGTTAATACGGATTTATTAATTCGTTATTACAGATTATGAACAAGTTATTACGGTGGTAAAATAAAAATGTTTCAACTATAGGCTACATTTCGAATTTCTGTTTATATTTTTGAAATTCCAACCATGCTAGTAGAATAAAATAATATTGATACTGACACGCTATCATAACAATCAGAGATAATGTCAATCTGAATGTATTCTAAGTATTATCTCGAAAAGGAAGGCATACTCATGTATATTATTTTGAATAGAGCCAATGGGCCTCTTTCCGTTATTACTTTTGCAAATGTGAAGGGGGAGGGGGTGGGCTTCTTTTCGATATGGGCTTTTCTCGAGAAAGCCTACAGGGCTTCTATTCAAGATATAGACATTTATTTCACATCGATACATGTAAAAACAGTTTGGCGTAGTGGTTGGGAGAAATGTTTTCCTCACTAACGGATCAGGTTCGAATCCCATGATGTCTTATGTTTTTACTTTTTCCTTCATTTCATTGTCAGTACTAAACATAACATTATTTTAAATACAAAGGATATTTATGATGTATATGGAGGTGCGTTTGAGTTCGTGCATGCTTTACATGAGAAGCCATAACAAACAGTAGACCTACTACTGTTTAGTAAACTGTAGGCCTCAATATACACTGTAAATCAGCTCTTATTTCTAATCTTATTTCAGAGGCAAACAATTAATCTTTCATTTTTTTGTGGTGTAGAATACTTGAACGTTTCCCTAAAAATTAATATATGACTCTCCATAGGAGTTATGAACTTATAATGTGAAGAAGTTAGCCTCGAAGCTTATCTTATTTTTTGTTGATTATTACACACACTATTTTCTCTATGCACACACACACTAGCTGTTTGTCATCAATTCAAAATGTCTACCAATGCGCGGTAAAGTCGTGTTCACATACTCTCAAGGACGTCCTAACGTCACGTCGAAACGTACTAACATCATGTCGAAACCACATGTCATGTCCAAACAGCATAACGTCATATTCAAACCACATAAGGCCATGTCCAAGCCACATAAAGATGTCCAAACCACATAACGTCATGAACCAAACCACATAATGTCATGACCAAACCGCATGACCTCATGATCAAGCCACATAAGGTCATGTCCAAAACACATACCGTAATAGACTGTTTGCACATAACCGAAGATAGACATACTAACGGCGTTCCATATTTCAATGGGGTTCAACGAGGTCGTCGAGATTCCCAGGAGCTGAATATAATCTGTCACAACGAATTATTGTTCTATACGAATTAGTAATCCGTAATAACAAACTGCAAACTGATTTTTTTAAGACAAAAAAAGGTGTTTGACGAAAATCGATCGTCCATCACAGACGTTCAGTGACTACATATTAACCGTGGTCTCTACTATCAATAGAACCCTGAGACCACCCTCAGTTCCCAAACCGTTTTCAAATTGAAGGACAAACTTTATATAGGCCTAGATCAGGAGCGGCGATAGCCGACGGGCGGCCGGGGGTGGGGAAAGATGAACCTCTAGCCACCCACTAGAACCCCCCACCCCCTAAGCTGTCAATTTTTTGGGAATTAAAAACTGTTTAGATAAAATCTTTCTATCAATGACATGATTTCCATTTATTTTGCATTAGAACACATAGAAAAAATTAACAGTCTTTTTTCTGAAAAAAGTGATTAGGGCGGGTGGTTTTTTTTTTTTTTTTTAATCAGAACAATAGAATGTTGTTTTTTTGTTTATTGATGAGGGACCCAGCAAACACAAAACATTCTTATAACGTTCGTTGTGGTTAGGTATGTCACAAAATAAACTTCACACAACGTTGTAAGAACATTTAAACGTTGTGAGGTTGTGAAATGAGGTTGTGAAATTAGGTTGTAAGTATGTACATAATGGTTCTATAAAATAACATTTTTATCACCAACTGAACTGTAAAGTTATCATAACGTTCTTATAACGTAGTATTGTTAGCTGGGGAGGGTCTGTTTTTATTTGGCAAAGAATATTGTACATATTATATTGTGTAAAAAGTAATTTAATTTTATTGGTTTTTAAAGAAAGTATACTTCCAGTCACAAAATTGCATTGTTTTTTTTTAAGCTGTTAAATTAGTAATCCGTAATAACAAACTGCTAATCTGTTATTACGATTAATTAATTCGTTATTACCGGTAAGTAATCCGTAATAACGAATTATTATTATACATCAATAATAATACATCAATTAGTAATCCGTAATTACGAATTCGTTATTACGGATTAATTAATTCGTAATTACGGATCTTTTATTACGGATTAATAATCAGTAATAACGAATTATTAATCCGTAATTACAAATTACTAATTCGTAATAACGGATGAGTAATTCGTAATTACGGATTACCGAACCTACACTTTAGTGGCATTAATGGCCTTTCGTACGTACTGTATACTGTATAAATTTACTATCGGTTTTTTTTTTTTTGTGTTTTTTTTTTATTGAACGGTGGTTTACAC